CTTGTTTATTCTTGTTATTTCACTATTTGTATACACGTATGTTGAAAATGTTTTTATTTTCAAACTTTTAATTTCAACAATTATAATCACACAGTTATATTCTACTGGATTTTTATTAGATTTTTATCTCGTTTACAATCTACTCCCAATAACTTCATCAACTAAAGTGAACACATTTTTTTTCTTTTTTTTTTTTTGGTACTGGGATCAAACTCAGGTCCTTGTACCTGCGATGCAGGCGGTGGAACCACTCAGCTAAATCCCCAGCCCCATATTATCTTCTTGACAGAACAAGTATATAGAGGGGGAGAAGGCAAAACAAAAAAGAAAATCAACCGCAGAAACCTACAACATGACAAATGCTGGATTCTAAGCATCCAGCCCAGGATGTAGGCAGGGTTCCCTCATATCCACAAGTAAGGAAGTTCAAAGAAGATTGGCACACAACTTGCTCTGGGTTTCAGGTAGAGGAGGGCCTATTTCAAAACTCAAACCTGGATTATGTGAGGCCAGTTAAGCACATTCATTATTACAGCCTCTCTTAGAGATCAAGCCCTGCTTATGCAATTCATTCTTAGGCTCTGCAATTGCTTTCAGATTTCAGTCTGCACATAAAATACTTTTCAAGTTAGCGTTTCAAATGTGACAAGCCCTATTAATACTACATGGTTAATTAATACGTTCTTTGTTCTTTCAAGAGAAAACTTGTGGTTGCATGGAAGTTATCCACAGCTACAGATTTGGAGCTAAAATGCAAACTGCTGAGGAGCCTGGATTCCAAACCACAAATGGGGGAAATGCTCCTCTTTTTAAGCGACTAAGTCATAAAAGTTCAAGTCTGTCATTGCAGCATGTTTCCAAATTGTTATCACCTTTTTTACTCCCTCTCACACATACATCCTCCTTGTAATGTTTATCAATCATTTCTAACTGAAAGACCACAAGGTAAATTTTGTAGAAAAGGATTACACAATAATTAAACCGTACAGAACAAAAACAACTTGAGGAAATAGAATTAATTTCTTGTCCAGGTAAAGATGACAGAACAAAGGTATCTTCCCCCATCTTTCCTATCTCAAAACTAATAAAAAGCAACAAAAGAATTAAAACAATTATAATAGCCTCCATTTTAATGAAAGAAGAGCCACAGCCCAGACAGTAAACCAGGAAACACAACTTCTGCTGTGACATCTAAATCCAGAAGAAAGGAGACCCAGGCCACCTCACAACCACAGGCTGCTAGCTTCCTTAACATAAGTGTCACCTCTAAAAAGCAAAGCCAATAATCCTACTGGAAATAATGACAGAGTTCAGGTTCAAGTGATACGAGAAATGTCATAGAGAAGGCCCACTTTGATAGTGAAGAATTACAGGAAAAAGCAGTGAAGAAACAGAAGGAAAAGTCAGACAAAACCCCAATCAGAGGGCCGGGGATTTAGCTCAGTGGTTCCGCCACCTGCCTTGCAAGCACAAGGACCTGAGTTCAATCCCCCGTACAAAAAAAAAAAA